ATTAAACCCCGGCAAAATGTTGTGAAGTGGGCAATAGTATAATAAATATACCTTTTACAGCCTAATCTGTTTTTCGTGATAAATAGAATTGCGTAAAAACAGCCAAAGAAACGAAAATCAAGTTCAGCATCACTCACACACAAACAAATAAAAAATAACATACTAAACTGGGAAAAATTGACAGCCAAAGTATCAGTATTAACACAGACTGATATTCAAACTGCCAGTTCGCCGAACGAGTACAATATAAATGATTAATCTATCGCTTTAAACCAATACTACAAAAATCAATATGAGAGCAAAGTTAAAAATTGTGAAAAATAGATACCACTGACAAATTTATCAATAACGTGTTCATCAATGGAAGAAAGCTGGATTGATTATCAAAGAAAAAATATGAACGGCACATTTATCTAAATGGTGATAAAAAACAAAAGAATCAAGTGGAAATATATCTGCAGGAAATAAATGTGAATGATAAATATATCTGTGCTGTGATGTCTTACAAAAGAATGCAGAAGTAAATAACTGTTGAAATGGTTTTATGATTAGTAAATTTATCAAAAATCGCGATTGTGAAAGGAGGAATGGACAGGCACCACCACTTTCCCCGTTCCTGCGCGATTCACCCGAACCCAAACTGCTGTCTGTGAAGCCCAATTATTCATTTAACGGTTATGAATACATTGCGCACGCGTCCGACCATACGTTGGGAAAGTGATTACCTTAAACATGTCTTAATCCATCAAAATATAAAACATTGTGTTTTCTAATAACACGTGGCCAATTGACCATAAAATCATTTTCAATTAAGGCCCTTGTGTTAAGAGCACTCGTGAGTAGGGCAAGAACAATCGGCAAGAAACAGACAAAGAACAGTTAACAAAACGGTACTTAAAATGGCGGAAGTCAATCACAGGACAAAAACGCCGGAATCGTCTGCCTGATTTCTACGGCACAGCAGAAACTTCACCGACTCGTACACTAGTTGAACTCTCCCATTGTTTTTCTCGAAATCATAATTTATCAACATATCAAAATTAATGATGAGAACGCTGCCGCTTTTCGACTCATAATTTGGACGTGTGGCAAGCAGTCCAAGATAATGATAGTATTTCCCTATTTTACGTTGGCGTGTGAGCGCAGACATAACTTTAATTGATCAAAGGATGCGTTGGTGAAATTGATCGCCATCAAGTTTCGTTTCAATTACCGAATGAATGGGACAGAAAATATTACGATAATGGTGAGCATTTAAGATCGCCCGGACACTAATATTAAGACTCTTAAGCCAGGTGAAACATCCTAACGTTTTTTTTACTACTAAAGATGAACAACAGTATTAGAAAAAAAGATTTTGATTTGCATTGAGAAAGTCAGTTAGTACATAAAGACATAATATGTCTATATTGGTTGCAAAACAGATATACATTTTATAGTGAACAAAGCACTGCAGAAACCAGATAATTCTAAAAAATCTAAAGGGATAAAAACAATCAGTTGCAAAAGGAGTTTCTTCACAATAACAGATAAAATCAGAGTTATTTTCACTCAGATGTTCGGTGTCTTTCCCCTCACTTTCTTCGGGAAATGATCTATAGGAGCAAAATTGACGAACACAATATTATTTTAATTGAGTGTATAGCAAAGACGGTGAAATTATTTAATTAAAAAAACAGTAAGTGATTTTATAATGAAAGCTATTTTATGGTCTGATAACTGATGTTCGTGTATATATGTTATTTTCTTCCTTAATGTTAAATTGTGCTGTATTTGCTCCCTTTTTATCACCAATGAATGCTTCTACTCGTGTGACCTGATTGTCTATTGCTTCTTTGCGGAAGAGGAAGATATAATTTCAGCAGAGGAATTACAAATAAATAAAGGGAAAACCTAATGGTGACAATTCCTCGACAGAGAAATAGTTACAGGATGATTGGCACTATTGTAAAAATCTATATTATTTTGGAATGATTACACATCAGTTTTTGCCACTTGTCTCAACAAAAAATATAGCATATGTGCTTTTATCTAATTTTATGTAAACTAACCTATCCACGTTAAAAACGTCTACATGTGGAAGTAATTCAACATGGCAAAAAGACGCTTGGCAATCTCACCTGACAAAGATGGCGCTTAATTATTGATCACAACTGTCACTTCGTCGTAAACATTTATCAGGGAAATTAATTGTAATGGGGACCTACTACAATTATCGGTTGTAGGGTTCAAGTTTTATTCTCGGGCCATGAAAACATTACTCTTTTCTCTTCATCTCAGCTGTTCACTTTCTCATAGTTCTAGACAGTGGCTTTTTTTTCTTCTCCACTAGATCGTCTGCTACTTGCGCCTAAGATAAGCCGTTATCATGCATACTTGAATCGCCTTGTTTCCAGTTGTCCGACTTATTGAATATCAATAATTAGAAGGCACCACGTCTTATTAATTACCAAAGATTAAAATCTCTTAAACGATCCCGGTGGATGTGGGATCTTGCTTAGTGCGCGCGGTGGCGAATGGTTGCTAACTCGAAACCGCGTTTTGTATCAATTTTTTTCTATCTCTCTCAAGCCTTGTGTTGCAGTGTTGTAATCCCCCGTGTAGGTAAATACACTAGAGCGGACATATTTGTATAGGTTATAATACCCGGGATGCGGAGATATTTAGTAAGTGTTCGGTCTTTATAGCGTGTGATCGCCCAAGTGTTTGCAGCAAACACGCTACTTGTGAAGACCTTAGGATACACACACATCTTTGCTAACCACGCATTGGTGCTGGACGCTTAAGAGGCCCCACTTGGGGGCTGTTAGTGTCATCGGCGTTCTCAGTGTCCTCAAATATCTGCGACACGGTGTTGAATGTTGGTTGATGTAACCTGCTTCATACACGGAGGCATATTTCACAAGCCTATCACACCTTATATACTTTATTCTACGGACAGTTTTCGCATTAATAATCACAATCTGTGTCGATCTTTCATAACTGATTATATGTTGTTTTCCCCAGTCGTCAGATAGGTCAGCTATTTGTTACAAAGATCAATCGCGTCACCTTCGCTGAAGTTGTGAAACAACAAGAAATTCTCCAGAAGAAAATTTGCTTTAAGATATCAGTCACACCCAATGCTAAATATAATAAATAAATTATAATAATAAGAAGAAAGACAATAACATATAATAAAAACAACACGTATATAAAATTTGCCTAACATTCTCGATTTAAACAAAGACATAGAATAATACACGCTAAAACTATACAACTAAGTTTCATGTAACACCGTCCCAAGCCCCCTATGTTGCCTCGGCCTTCTTTCAATGGTCGACAGCTGCGCACGGCAGATTCGTATTGTTTGCACTGCAATTTTTCAACGAAGTGTCCCCGCGCTCTGCTCCTTGAGTTCAAGTGGCGAGCTTGCCTCTTCTCTTGTCAAAGCGCCGGTGCTAGGCGATAGAGAGAGAAATGCTTGGGCTATTGTCCCAAATGCCAGTCACAGACAAGTTTAGCGAGTGCTCACTCTTTTTTTTTCTATGGTGCCTACACACCCGTGAAATACGAGGTGGAAATTTTTTTTCATTTTTTTTTTGCTGCGGTCGCTATTTACGGGTACGTTATCTGAGTTATGGTAACGCGGTTCGCCTTCGATACATGAGCTTTGCTATCAGGTTCATATCAAACATAAGCTACAAAATTAATTCACTTAAATCTTTCTATCTGCATTTTTTTCGGATATTTTTCCATTAGACAAAAAAGAGCATATGTTATTGCTCAGATATCATACCTGAAATATATAAGGCGCAAAACTAACATGGTCATTTTTAATAAATGCTGTATATGGGAGAGGAGTGAAGAGACAGATAGAAAGAGAGAGCGCGTGTCTCTCCCTCTCTCTCTTTCTAATTGTGTGTCTAAGAGAGAGAAAGAGAGAGAGAGAGAGAGAGAGAGAGAGAGAGAAGAAAGGAGTATCGAACTCTCACTCACTCAAACAGTTGTAAAACCGCACTGTTTGCCGAGCGCTGTTCCAACACTAGCAGCTGTCAACTCCTTTATTTATGTTCAACACTTTTATCAACAATCTCATAAATCGTACAAAAACAATAGCAGCACCATAATGTTATCTCCCTCGACTTTGCAGCAGTGCAATAAAATACTCGCCATCCATCTGGTAATGGTCATAAAATTCAAAGCAGTGCAAATGTTTGTGATGCTAAGGGGTGAAGGTGGATTTTAAAAAAGCAATAGAACAGTCATTATGATAAAACATGACCTGTTCATCACAGTCGAAGGAGACATACAGCAACCCGTGGAAAAATCTAGGACGCATATTTAATGTTATTGGATTTACACTTAAATATTCACCTCTGTTTGTGCAGAAACACGACTGTGTCGCTTCTTAATAAGTGTTTTTACATTCAGGCCGAATGTTTAGTGTTCTTTGGGATGTTACGTTCTCTTTTGGTTTCATTGAAAATAAAAATATTAAGCAATTTCAAAAACTACATGAATTTGAATTAGGACATGTCTTAGAATAAGGGAAGATTTCTTCCTATATTTTCCTTCCAATTCATAACAATTAGGCCTACTGATATTTATCGAACCAACTTAGATTCCAGTCGGAACATTTTTTTATCAATTGAGAATTATGGATAGAGAAAAGTTATAGAATAATATATATGACTTATCAATTGGACAAAGCTAAAATATATTTTATATTGCTCTTTGGATTATAATAGTTATCGGGGCATGCGTGATGAAGTATATTTGATTTCATGTCATCTTTTGAGACAAATTATTGTGGTATTTCGTTCTAACAGAGTGCAATCAAACACAATATATAGAGAGAGCAATTAAACGAAAACATTATTGGTGTCTAATGGCAATGAAAAATATAGGAAAAGCAATAATACAGCTGACAAAAAGTGGCTGTACATTATCTAGTCGACGCCTTGCATGACAGGCCTCAAAAACCGTTGAAAAATTTTCCTTATTTCTGCTCCACTTACTTGTCATAATCCATCTTGCAGTAGAGTTTCATATCTTTGAAGAAACAAGATTGGGTGAGAGGCAGACGACACACACAGCATTGAAGACATTGCTCGTGCCACGTGTTCGCCATTACTTTCAAGAAGAACCTATC